ACGGCCTGGTTCGCTGTGCTGAACGCCTCCCTAGATGGACCCAAGAATGGGAACAAGAGCGCTCAGGTTTATCCCGAACACCCCAGCACTCGTGGCATGGGGGTTGAAGCCGACGACTTGCATCTCTCAGATTTGATAAACGGCCGCACAGAAGGTAATATTTTAAATTAACAAGCGTTGCTTAACGCATATGAACAAAGCTTCAGCGTACAGGATAACAAATGCGAGTTTACTCAAAAATTATATCTTTGGAGCACCCATCCGCTATGCGGCGGGCACCCTTCAGAACGCCATTGTAATACATCTCGGGCGTACGATACTCCTTGCCCGGTGGTGGCGCGTCCGTCAACAACTTCTCCGCGTCTAGCTTGCCCCAGTGCACCTTAGCACGAGCAAGGGCCTGACGGGCACCTTCAATACAAACGGAGCACTTGACGACCTCAATCCACGGACACGCGTCCACCAGCCGCCGCACCAGACCGAAGTAGTTCCCAGGCATGGCTTCTCCAGGCCACTGCCGAGCTATGAGGCCCTTCATGGCCTGTTCGGCCACCTTGTGGAGCTCAACCAGCTGCTTCAGTTGGTCACTCAGGGGCACCGGATGTTCGGCCTCAGCATACTGAGACCAGAACACTTTTTCTGTCGAGCTCCCCTCTTCAGCTCGGTAGTATGCGGCAGCATCAGACACACTACAGGGTAGATCGGCGAACGCTCCTGGAGAGCTCCGGATTCGGGTAAGTAGCAGATAATTAACTTTTATATTTTTGCTTTGCATAAAGAATGCCTTACCCGCCGCTATCTTCTTCATTGCCTTGATCTCCTGAAGGGCCTTCTGGGCTTCGACCTTAGCGGTCTTGGCACTCTCAAGAGCCAAGGCAAGCTCGGACTCTCGAGTCTTCGAGTCACGCTCCAAACTCTCGTGTTTTTCCATGAGAGCCTGGAGCTCTTGCCGCACCTCCGTCACCCGCGCCTCCTGCTTATCTCGCTCGGTGCGCTCCAAGGCTGCACTCTTTTCGGCCTTCGAAACCGCCTCCTTCAGGGTCGCCACCTCGGTCGTGGCTCCTACAACATTAACGTTGGTCCTATTATTATTATGCAACCAAGTATTTCTATATACATTTACAGGAGGTGCTATGTACCCTCTTTATCCTCGAGCTGCTTCTTGGCACGGCCGAGCTCGCTCTCGGACCGCTCAAGGCTTTCCTTCAAGGCATTGACCTCCGCAGTCAGTGCGGCAAAGGTCAGTAGTGCAGCCTGCATTCCCATATTGACATATTTCTATTAGACTCCTGCGTATATCTTTTAAGATCCTCAGTTCGGCTTTTCTTTCCGAACACCGAACTAAGCATCAGGGGCTACTGTCTATGCGCTAACATTTTTTATATATGTTTTTGAACACATACCTCAAAGCCCGTTAACAGGCTTGTGCAGGCTTCCGTCAGCCCGCTCTTGGCGGACTGAACCTTTTGAATCACCGCACTCATAACAGTGCGGTGTTCTTCGTCGATAGAGGCGCCGTTGAGCGCCTCCAGCAAATTGTCCAGCGCCTCCGGGTGGACGGAAGTCGCCGGTGTCACCGACTTGCCCTTCTTGTGAAGGCGCCGCCTGTTGGGCTCTGGAACCACTGATGGTTCCGGAGCAGTGTCCGGCCCAGGGCCGGACTTAGATCCCTCCGGGGTTTTACCCCCTTTGGGTTGGGAGTTCGGAAGGTCGCCTTGTGGCGCTTCCAGGACCACCTCCTCCTGGTTTTGTCCCCTACGGGACTCCACCTCCGCGCCGTCTGTAGGGAGAGGGGAGGAGGCCGTCGGAAGTGAAGCGCTATTCACATCCGACGAATTTAGAGATCCGCTCGACGAATCGCCAAGCTGAGCTCTGGGCGGACTGTATGATTACCTTCGGTGTTAGAAGCTATCAAATAATAAAGGAGTGCAATAAGTCATTCTGGTAGCCGGACACTTACGATTTTGCCAGGGGCTTGACCCTGGAGGGCCAGTCCTCCTCGCCGTCTTCGGCGTCGGGGGCGTAGTCCGGCAGAAGGGGATTCCCCTTCTTGGACCCTCCGGCTTCCCCAGTTGGGGCGGCCTTTCTCTTCTTTCCTCCCCCCGCTGGAGGGGGAGGCACCTTCTTCTTCCTCCTCCTCATCTTCGGAGGCGATGGGTGCGTTGGAGCCGTCGGGCAAATCCGACGACACCGGGCGCCGGGAACTCTTTCGGGTCCCCGTGGCCTTCTCCTTGGCCTTCTTCTCCGGCACCACATGGGGTGCCAGAACCAGTAGCTTCACTAAGTGTGCGTCTACTGGGCCTTCGGGCAAAGAGGCCGGACAGTCAAACTGTCCGGATGTCCTCTTCCAATCCTGTCAAAGGAACGGGAGTTTAGATCCCACATAAGGTCACACTATGAAATGCGGATATCCCGTAAGGGACTAAAGGTAAGCTTACTTCGGAGGCTTGACATTTGGCACAGAACTCGCGATCCTCGGTGACGAGAGGGGAGACCTCGGAGCTTTTGAAAAGCACCTTCCAGGCGTCCTCGTGCTTCGTTTCGAAGAGCCGGGATAGAGTCTGGTGCTGGGCCGGGTCGAACTCCCACAAATTGAAGTCCCGTCGTTGACACGGGAGGATCCGGCGGAAGAGCATGACCTGGACCATGTTGACAAGTTTGACCTTCTTGGTCACTAGGTCTCGGACGCAGGTTTGGAGTCCGGTCACCTCTTCCGGATTTCCCCATGACAGGCCGGTCTCTTTCCAAGATGTGAGCTGGGTGGGGATGCCGGATCGAAATTCAGGGGCCGCTACCCATTTAGGGTCACGCGGCTCGGTAATATAAAACCACCCAGATTGCCACCCTTTGATGGTTTCCACGAAGGCACCCTCGAGCCAGGTGACGTTGGCTATCTTGCCCACCATGGCGCCTCCGCATTCCGCTTGTCGGCCTTGCACGACCTTCGGCTTGATGCTGAAGATCTTTAGCCATAGGCCAAAGTGGGGTTGGATGCGGAAAAAGGCCTCGCACACGACGATAAACACCGAGATATTGAGGATGAAGTTCGGGGCCAGATCGTGGAAGTCTAGGCCGTAGTAGAACATGAGCCCCAGGACGAACGGGTGAAGAGGAAAACCCAGTCCACGGAGGAAATGGGGAAGAAAAACAACCCTCTCATGGGGCCTGGGGGTGGGGATGAGTTGCCCTGCATCTGGGAGCTGGTGCGCGATGTCGTTGGACAAGTATCTGGCCTTCCTGTGGTTTTTCATTTGTCCCTTCGTGACGGAGGAGGCCATCCATCTACCTCCCGCTCCTGACATGGTTGGAGAAGGTTGAGGTGAGAAGTGCGGGCTTGGGCGCTGGAGCTCGAGCGCGTAGGGACGGATAAGCAGAGAAAGATGGCGTGAATGGAAAGGGCGGATTCTTATCCCCTTATATGGGCGGCCAAAACTACGAGCCCCCCACCGGCCTAATAAAACTCGCTTATCCCCCAAGCGCCGCGGTTAATGGCGCGGTTGGGTTACCCACACCCGTATTGATGAGAATCCCGGAATAAGGGAACACGATCTCTGCTTTGACAAGACGTGCCAGGGAAACCGCCTCACTAAACGCGCTGAGGTGGAACAATAAAATGAATAAAGAGCCTAGCTGTGGCATGATGTCACGCCACAGAATACGTCAGCAGATCCGATTGATATGAATATTATTCTCTCTACGAAGGAATGTGGAACTTATTTTGCAGAGCCGGACACTACCCTGGTGTTCAACATCTTCTATGAAATATTCGGAGGAGGAACCCGCCTTGCAATGCCGAAGACAACTTGCGCGCCGGACTCGTCGTCATTGAAGCCTGGTTCAGGGGCTACTGAGGGAGTCCTGGATTAGGAGGTGTCCGGATGGCCGGACTAAGACCTTTGGCCGGACTCCTGGACTATGAAGATACAAGATTGAAGACTCCGTCCCGTGTCCGGATGGCACTTTCCTTGGTGTGGAAGGCAAGCTTGGTGATACGATATGAAGATCTCCTCCCATTGTAACCGACTCTGTGTAACCCTAGCCCTCTCCGGTGTCTATATAAACCGGAGAGTTTTAGTCCGCAGGACAAACAACAATCATACCATAGGCTAGATTCGGGTTTGAAAAACGTGATTTTACATGCAATGGATGCACAGGCGCGCACATACACAGAGATGGAGAGAGAGAAATTGCTACCTAGAGCTGGGTTGAGTCATCCAAAATTTAACGGTTTCAGACATGGCATCCACATTCTGTATGCATCTAGAAATCATCAGCCTCTACGCTCTAGTCTGGCACCATATCCCCACAAAAACCATGCGGACCAAAGGTGCAAGCACGAAACCAGGATGTATGAGAAATTTCTATCTATGCACCATATTGCTGGATAATTCATGGAGCAAGACGAAATACAGAGACAACATCTGATGATGCGCTAACAAATCAATGGCTTCGTCCATCCAGATCACGGGCGGCGTGACAGAAGAAGAGAATACCTGGACGTCCTCGACGGTGGCGTGGAGGTCTGGCGAGTCCTTGACGATCTTGATGTGGTCAACAACATTCCAGACGATGTCAAGCCTGTCGATGATGCGCTTGAGCGGGTGGACCAAGCACTCCCACGCCGGCTCCACGCCCTTCTCGAGCTCCTCCAGCTCGCCCTCCTACGAGCAACCACAACCACACACGATCAGATCCGGATGGGCGACGAGCGGGCGAACGAACGGGGATCAGGGGAAGGGGGATCAGGGCGTACGAGCGGGCGAACGAACGAGACGGACGTGCACGGGCTCGACATCGTCGAAGGGCGGGAAGTCGAAGTCGGCGAGCATCGGGTTGCTGCTACTGTCGGCATCCACCATGGTGTCAGAGGCGGCGGTGCAGTAGGCAGAGCAGGCGGGGTTGGCAGAAGGGAGGGTGGCCGAGGCAGGGGAGGAGGGGGCAGCGACGAAGGAGGGACCTGCCGGCAAGGTGAGAGAGTTGACGTGTTGATCTGGATCGGGGAGCATACGGCGGCGTGTTGGATCGGGGAGGAGGCGTTCCGCGTGCTATGGGAGGGAAGCAGATGGGAGAGGAGAGGCCGTCGGCAGCGAGCTATGGGAGGGACGAGGTGGTGGGTGGGTGGCAGCGTGAGGAGGCAAGGAGGCATGGGTGGGGCGCGAGCGACGATAGGGTTTGGAGTTTGGACGAGGGGGGTGAGAGGGAAGATGCCACGATGGGTGAGAGTGTGAGGGGGACGAGGGCCGCCATTAGATCCGGGAGTATCCGACGGTGTGTGACCCATGATCCTTGTGAATGCCTATGGACCAATCAGAATGCAGTAAACAGTTTGAAGATGTCATGGCCATTCAAATTGTGTTCAAGTTACCATGGAAAATCTTCGCATTGTGTCATTATATGTGGCCAAGTTACCATAAAAAGTAATAAACTTGTAATACGATAATTTTTTAAAAAAGTGTTCTCAGAAATGAACTATCATGTGTGGATATTCGTGTCTTTCAAGCCAAATGATCAATCTTATGGCCACATTCATGGCATAGTTTGTTCAAATAATCTTATGGCCACATTATGCACAAGGGTGCATGTTGGAACGCCAAACAATGTTGCCTAAGGAAGTTTTCATTTTCTATGCACAAAAAAATCATTTTCCATTTTTCAAGTGCCCAAAATGAGGTTTTTTTAAGGACCTACCAAATAATTGTTGCAAAATTCGACCAAATCAATTTTCTGAAATACTAAGCCATATTTAATGCATAATTTTGGACCAAATGGTTGGATGTCAAAAGCTTTTATCCTCCTCTCGTGAAAAAGACAAATTTCTGTTGATTCAGTTGGAAGCGGGTGAAATTTGAACTGCGGCTGCCTCATAATTTGCTATTTATTTTTTCCAAAAATCAGTTTCAGGTACAAAAGTATCTATTTAATCAAAGAAACACCAAAATTTTTCCAAGATTCAATCACTAGCTAGGAACGGTCATGCCCGCCGTTTTGACCGCATTTTGAAACAGACATAAAAAATTAAATTTTTTTTGAAAACATTCGCATTGTGTCATTATATGTGACCAAGTTACCAGAAAAAATAATAAATTTGTAATACGACAATTATCTTAAAAAAGTGTTATCAGAAATGAGCCATCATGTGTGGAGATCAGTGCCTTTCAAGCCAAATGATCAATCTTATGGCCACATTCATGGCATAGTTTGTTCAAATGATCTCATATTGTGCACAAGGGTGCATGTTGTAATGACAAACAATGTTGCCTAAGTAAGTTTTCATTTTCTTTGCACGAAAAAATAATTTTCAATTTTTCGAGTGCCCAAAATGAGGTTTTTTTGTGAAGGACCTACCAAATATTTGTTGCAAAATTGTACCAAATCAATTTTATAAAATACTAGGGCATATTTAATGCACAATTGACCAAATGTTGGGTGTGAAAAGTTTTTATCCACGTCTCGTGAAAAAGACAAATTTCCGACAACTCAGTAAGAAACGATTCAAATTTGAACTTCAGATGCCTCATAGTTTGTTATTTATTTATTCCAAAAATAATTTTTAGGTACAAAAGTAACATTTAATTAGAGAAACACCAAACATTTTCCAAGATTCAACCACTAGCTAGGAAAGGTCATGCCCGCCGTTTTGACCACATTTTGAAACGGGCATGAAAAATTCAAAAAATTGGAAAACCTTCACATTGTGTCATTATATGTGGCCAAGTTACCGGTTAAAGTAATAAACTTGTAATACGATATTTTTTTAAAAAAGTGTTCTCCAAAATGAACTATCATGTGTGGAGATTCATGGCTTTCAAGCCAAGTGATCAATCTTATGGCCACATTCATGGCATAGTTGTTCAAATGATCTCATATTGTGCACAAGGGTGCATTTTGTAATGCCAAACAATGTTTCCTAAGGAAGTTTTCATTTTCTTTGCACAAAAAAAACATTTTCCATTTTTCGAGTGCCCAAAATGAGGTTATTTTTGTGAAGGACCTACCAAATAATTGTTGCAAAATTGGACCAAATCAATTTTCTAAAATACTAAGCCATATTTCATGCATAATTTTTGACCAAATGGTTGGGTGTGAAAAGTTTTTATCCACCTCTCGTGAAAGAAAAATTTGTGCTGATTCAGCTAGAAGTGGGTCAAATTTGAACTGCGGCTGCCTCATAGTTTGCTATTTATTTTCCAAAAAATCATTTTTAGGTACAAAAGTATCTATTTAATTAGAGAAACACCAAACAATTTCCAAGATTCAACCATTAGCTCGGAACGGTCATGCCCGCCGTTTTGACCGCATTTTGAAACGGGCATAAAAAAATCAAAAATAAATCAAGAAATTTGAAAACCTTCGCATTGTGTCATTATATGTGACCAAGTTACCAGAAAAAATAATAAATTTGTAATATGGCAAATATTTAAAAAAAAGTATTCTCAGAAACGAGCTATCATGTGTGGAGATCAATGCCTTTCAAGCCAAATGATCAATCTTATGGCCACATCCATGGCATAGTTTGTTCAAATGATCTCATATTGTGCACAAGGGTGCATCTTGGAATGACAAACAATGTTGCCTAAGGAAGTTATCATTTTCTTTGCACCAAAAAATCATTTTCCATTTTTCGAGTGCCCAAAATGAGGTTTTTTGTGAAGGACCTACCAAATATTTGTTGCAAAATTGTACCAAATCAATTTCTAAAATACTAGGACATATTTAATGCACAATTGACCAAATGGTTTGGTGTGAAAAGCTTTGATCCAGCTTTCATGAAAAAGACAAATTTCCGTCGATTCAGGAGGAAGCGGGTCAAATTTGAACTGGAGCTGCCTCATAGTTTGCTCTTTATTGTTTACAAAAATCATTTCTAGGTACATAAGTATATATTTAATCAGAAATACATGGTTTGGTGGTGATACATCGAGGTTTGGAAAGTGGCTGAGCGCCCCAACTCCAGAGCGCGTAAACTCGCATGCCCGGCGCGTGGTCACCGCATGACTTTGGCGTTTCCATGCGTTCTGGGCGGCCTAGGCATGTCTAGTGGGTTCGGCACTCCCTAGGTAGGTGCTAGGAATAAAATCACAACATAAGATTCTCAAGAGGAGACCGAACTATGCTCAAACATGAATTAGTAGCCAAGTGTTTGATTAGCGGTACGGGAAATGCACATGGCTAACGGGCGTGAGTTTTGGCTGATGATGATCAGTTACTAAGAAGACTGTCTTCACAAATTTTCATCTCAAAAGGAGGAGACTAGGTGGTACTTGCTTTGCAAAGTAACACACTGGACATAAATATGAATGTTGAAGCTGAGCTCAAAATAATGAATGGATTGAGCTGAAATTTGGTGGAGGATGGTTATTTGGGCATAGGAAAGCACTATAGAAAATGGATACCATTTCGACATGCCAAAGTGGCACTTCCTTCACAATTCTCTTCTCTAAACAGAAACTTTGGAAAATTAGTGAGAGAAATTGGCTAAATAAAATGATCTCAAATTTGGTGTATGTAAGTTACATATGCATATACAATATGTGGCAAAAATTCAACTCATTAGGATATGCATAGCTAGTACTTCTTTCACAAAGGTTCTAGGTGGAAAAAAACTTTGCAAATTTGCCGAGGAAGATTTACTGGGCAAATGGAGCTAAATTTTGTCATAAGGTAATGATTTGGATAGGAAAGAGTGGCCAAAATTTTTGAGGGCAATCAAAAATATATAAATAGCACTTCCTTCAAAATGCTCTTCTCTAAACAGAAACTTTAGAAAATTAGTTAGAGAAATTGGCTAAATGAACTGAGCTCAAATTTGGTGTAGGTAAGTTACATAGGCATATAGAATATGTGGCAAAAATTCAACTCATTAGGACATGCGTAGCTAGTACTTCTTTCACAAAGGTTCTAGCTGGACAAAAACTTTGGAAATTTGGCAAGGAAGATTTACTGGGCAAATGGAGCTGAATTTTGTCATGAGGCAATGCTTTGGATAGGAAATAGTGCCCAAAAATTTTGAGGGCAATCAAGAATATATAAATAGCACTTCCTTCACAAAGTGTTGTTCTGAACAGAATAGGAAAATGAATATTGTTGAATTATTTTTGAACTAGGCAAGGAAGATTTTTTACATATTTGACGAAGATATGACCCAAATAATTTATGAGATTTTTTTTGGGAATTTTGGGAATGACAGAAGTATAGGTTGCTTCACAACCTAGGGCAAAAATTGACACATGGACATGACACATAGGAAAAACTGATGAGGTGGCACCTAGTCATAGCAACCCACCACAATTTACAAGGTTATGACCATCTATATTGGTCGTGATCAGCTCGAAATAAGGCAGCGGAGCAGTGCTATCTGCTTTATGACCATTTCGTGTAAGGAAATTACGACCTTTCTAATCAAAATGGTTGTTATAGTTCAGGGTTTGGAGCCCCCCGAATAGGTTTTGACCAATTGCTCTCAAATGGTCATAGATTTATGAACACTTCTTCCAGGGTCACTAACAGAAGGTCACAAGATGACATATTTCTTGCAGTGTTTGGAGTGGGATTGGCACCAGGGGCGGAGCTGGGCCCCGGCCACCCAGGTCCCAGGCCCGGGGCATAGAATTTTTACTAGCCTATTATATATGTATGATTTTCTGCAGGCCCGGGGTGCAGAGCCCAGTAAAACGAAGGCCCAGAGCGGCATTTGCTGTCTCACCTCGTGAAACAGACGCACGAGCACAAGGAGACTTCTCTCGAAAAAAGAGCACAAGGAGACCTCCAACTCATGCACGCGCAACAAGAAAATAGGAAACTGACGGGCACACACACATCATGAATCTTCAGGAGACGCCAGCGATCAAGAGGCCACCGCCGATCTAACGCACACACGACGCACGCAAGATCTATCTCCAGAAGTGCAGAGTCCAGACTCTAGCGCTCACGCCGGCCACCGGCGCCGTCGTTCGTCGCCGTGTCGGCTACCGCTGGACAGCCCTCCTATGCGCAGTGCGCTGGTCAC